ATGTCATAAATTTGGTCATTACATTTCATATGTTAAATCACAAAAATACATAAAAGGTATTTGCGAAAATGTAAATATGAATATGGATTAAGTGTCTGCATTAGAAAGTGATATGTGCGACATTTTTATGAGTGTTTTATTAATTTCAAAAAGACATGTGCCACTTTTTATTTATTTTTGTGAGAATGCTTAAAGAAATCAAATGGAGGATGACAAGGTTGATGGAGTTGGGTCAAACAACATGATGGATGTCATTAGGTACCCTGCAATATACACATGACATGTACCCAAAAAGGAACTGTGCATCTATTTTATCGTTAAATGGTTTGAGGCTTGTTTACTGGACACTTCAGAAGTGGACAAAGCATATCACAGGGGGAAATGGCAAGAAATTAAAAGAGAAAAAGACAGAGATAGAGAATAAGAATTAACACTGCTTTAGAGAGGTTAAAAGGTAAAACTTATTCACTTACTACACAGATTATTACCCTTCCTTACTATTCAGTATCATCCTTACTATTCAATATCATGTGTTTGCATAAAAAATCGGATCACATAGACTTACGTCGTGCGGTGCCGTTGCCGTAGATTGTAACGCTTCTTGCCAGGATTTTGCACAGCTGGAGCACCTGTTTGACGCCTCTTCTTGATGCCATCTGCCATGACACTTTCAGATTGTACTTCACTATAATCAGCCTCCAGGTCAGTCTCTGTCATTTTAGAACTTTGTGCACGAGTTCGCTTTCTTGTACCAGTTGCTTTCTCAGCACGACTTTCCTCATTTATATAAGAAGAAGAATCATTAGTTTTCTCCCCTTTCACCTCTAGTTCTCCTGATTTCTTTCTTAAGATAACTGCAGCATCTTCAACCACTGCCTTCGCAGAGCGCATTCTATGGATTCCTCCCGGTTGTTTAGCAGGTTTACGACGGTTACTTCTCAGCTGCGATCGCTGTGAATCTTCCAACACTTCTTGTTTTCTTTTATCTTCTTCAGGAATACCATATCCTCGTGCTTCAGTGTCAATCCACATACTTGGTCCATCAGCCTTCTCTGCTGCACTTACAAGTGTATCATCCAAGGCTTGTTCCAAGTTTTGAGGAGCCATGTGCTGGAGTTTCTTTTCAGGGGATGAGTTAAAGATCCTTGGCGTGCACTTTCGGAGCAACCAAGAGATACGGCCTCCAGATCCTGATGATCTGGGATCATTCTCACCAGGTGATTTCTTGAAGTTTGCTCCATATGAAGCGACCTTCTCCAGAAGCTCCTCTCCCTGTGCCTGAAGAGGGGCTTCCTCATCATCAAGTTCAGTCAAACGAAGATCAGATAATATATATGCCCTTGCAATCTCCCCACAGTTTTGGCAACTCTTAAGTGTCTCGACCAATGCAAGATATTGGCTTCTCTCCTTAATAAATTCTTGCCTCTGAACCTTAAGCTTCTCGCTCAAAACACCAAGTTCCTCAATGTCTTTGTGCATTTCAAGTTGTTGTTCTTCCAGCTGCTGCTTGTTCAAGGCAATGCCCTGCTTGTCCTTCTCTAATCTGTGTCTCTCAGACTTTATTTCTTCCATGTCCTTCTGGATAACATCTTTTAAATAGCTTATATTGCCAAGTTCTTTTTCTCTCTGTTCCCTGAATGTGCTCTCTCTCTCCTCCAGATTTTTCTCTATTTCCTCTTTCTTATTCAGCATATCAGCCTCTAGATCCTCTCTTCGAGTTTCAAAATCATGAACTAATCGATCATGTTCACTTTGAGTTCTTTCAGACAAAGCTAACTGCTCTTGCCTCATTGTGGCATCAAATGATTCTTTCTCTAACCTAAGTGCCTCCAACTCTCTCCTAATGTAACTCTCAGTGGCAAGTTTATTTTCTTTCAATTGCTTTTCTTCAGCAGTTTTCAATTTCTCAAGCATCACTTTGTGTTCTTCAATTTGTTGCAATTCCCTAGTAACCTCAGCTCTCTTTTCATCCAAAGCCTCCCATTCCTCTTCAAATTTGCTTTTATCTCGTTTCAAATCCCCAGCTTCCTTAAATAGCAATTCCTTCTCATGTCTGTACCTCTCTATCTCCCGTTTCAACTCCATTTGTAAATGGATATGCTCCTTCCGCTCAGTCTCAGTAATTTTAAGCTTTTCAGTTTCTTCACGAATCTGTAATTCCTCGTGATTAATTTCAGCCCTCATCTTCTCAAGCTCATCTTTGAGGAGCTGCAAACTTTCCTTTTCAGAGAAAGCTTCTTCCTTTAATAATTCCAGATTTTTCTCCTCCTTCTTGATGGACTTTTCCTTTTCCTTCACAGCTTTCAACTTTCCTTCAAACTCCTTTTCTTTTTCCTTCAACCTGTCTGACTTCTTTTCCAACGCCTGCTCCCGCTTTCTCAGCTTTTCCTCCATATGGTTGATTTCATTTTCCTTCTGCACTATGTTATTGAATTTAATTTCCTTCTCTTCCTCAAATGACTTCCTTTTCTTTACCATTTCCAACTCAAACTCCTGTTTTTTTGAATCCAAAGCATCCCGATGTTCATCGAGAATCTTCTGAATCTCCACCTGTAAAAAAATATTTAAGCCGTTAGCAATATCAAGTCAAATTTTCAATTTTGAATCGGAGAATTCAAACCTCATACAGGTTACAGTATGCAGAACAAAAACAGAAATGCAATTCACTATTCAGAATAAAGGTGGTGCACCAGGAGGAGCCTTCACTAGATAACTCCATCAATTTATTGTGAAAATTTGAAAATAAGGCATGGTATAATGATAAAGAAACATTATTTATCAAGTTGAGCACTTTTGAGTTCAAAAACTATATAAACAAGGGAAATGCTACTAATCTTCACATATATTAACTTCTATAATTCTTATCTGTATCCTACATATAAGTTTCAAGCAGGGAAAGCAAAGTGGTTGGGATGCTAAATTTACTGTTCAAAAATGCTAGCATAACCAACTCCAAAAACTGTGCTAATACCAAGTTAGTAGGAAAATGGTGCTCCCCATTATCTAACTATGCAAGAGAAAACAAACATTTATTGTATTCACCTCTGTAACAACACCTCTTTGTAGAGTACTTGAAAGGATTCAAAAGAAACATTAGCATTCAAATAAATAACATCCAAAGCTGAGCAAATATTTAAATAAACATTATAACTCGGCAACTAGGCAAAGGCATTGGCGGGGTTGGGGGCTGGGGTGGGGCAGGGTCATAGTGAAGGTGGGAGAGGAAGAAGACAAAGTTGTGGATGAACATAAACTAAGGGTATTTTCGGAATTTTAAAAACAAGTTTAGCTATTAAAAGTTTGTACAAGGCATCTTCTCAAATTGTGCTAAAAAAATTGTGCCTCTTTATATCTATTTAAAATGTAGTTCACATCTCATATTTGATAAAATTCCAGTAAAAGTTGCATTAGGCTACCCAAGATTCTACAAACTGCATATTCATACATCTTAGACATCACAATTTCCCCAGCCACCACACACTTAAATACGAAAATTTTATCTTTCATGTTTAGAGCTAAACAACTCTTCCTAAAGTATCATAAAAGGAATTCTTTAAGAGTCTTTAACAGAAAATATTAAGCAGTCAGTTCCTTTTATACTTTGTAATCCCTCAAGCATCAATCAGAAGACACCAACCAAGTCAATCAATAATAAGAAATTGATACAACAAGCCTCCAGATAAAAGTTTATAGACCAAAAAATCTAAAAGAATATCAAAGAAAGAGAACATTATTTCCCACAAACATAAAAGAAAGAGAATGAATTGTAAATGTGTAGGAAAAAAATCAGGCTGCACGTAAACTAAAGTACTGCAACATACTCTCTCTCTGGCGCTCAGCTTCTCCGCCAGACTAATCAATTCTTTCTCCTTCATCTCTAGATCTTTTCTCAAAGACTCAGCTTTCTGCAAACAAATAAAAAATGATATTGATACACAGACCACAATACTGACCTTTTTTAAATCCCAGAATATGGAGATAGGTCAGAAACTCACCTCCTCTTTCACAGTTAGGTCTGCAAGCCTTTTGTTAATATCATCTTCTTTCTGCTTCAAAGTCGAATTCATCAATTCGACCTTTTCCTGCTCTTCTTGTAGTTCTCTTTCTTTCTTAATGAGCATCCGATCGAGTTCTTTTGCCGTTTCCTCTCTCTCATTAATCATACTACGACCCTGACAAAGTCTCTCTTCACCTTCTTGCAGCTTCCTTTCCCACTCTCTTAAATCTTCTTTATGCTTCAAAACAGTGGCCTCATGTGCTTCCCTCCTGATAACATGTCAGAAAGCAAAAGAGTAACTAAATGATATATCACCACAGAAAAAAACATTTTTAGTAATTTTCTACATTAATCATACTCAGCATTAAAGAATTTTCGCTCGCTTGTAACTGCACTTTCACGAAACTCAACCTCCTGCAATTTCCTCTCCATTTCCAAACTCTTTCGACTTGCCTCGGCGAGCTTTGCATCAGCAGCCAGCAACTTTTCTTGCACTTCCAGAGACTTATCATGAACTCTACCAACCAAAGCCTGAGCATCCGCAAGTTTAGTTTCAGCTGCAAGCTTGATCTGTTCGTGCTCCACACGTGTGTCACGTAAACCCTTCTCAAGCTAGATATGGACAGTGTTACAAAGGTCATTAGCAGAAGACAAAAAAGAGACAGCAGAAAAATAAGCAAGACAACATATCCAAGACATTGCCAATAGTAAATTGATTGACACGCGCAGAAGAATTTAAAAAGTTAGTATTAGATAATTCATATCTTTAAATCTTTTGTCAAGTCTATTCATGAGTTGAAGTAAGCAGAGAAATATATTATTGCAAGTTTATAAACTTTCAAGTATCAGGACATAACATGACATCTTAACCTACTAGCTTTGAAAAATCTGACTTTATCCAAGAGTCTAATTGATTATATCACATATTCAGAGTAATTAAAATTTACCTCTAAAACAACTCATATGTTTTACCAATTTGTTATGTATTCACGAATTAAAATGGGAAATAACTATATTACTGCAAATTTATAAGCATTGTCACAAGAATGATGATGTACCTACACATATGCACTCATTTTAACCTCTAACACCATTAAAAAGAAATGTGAATATGTCCAACAATCAATTCTGCAACAAAAGAATATAGGAAGTATATATTATTTAGCATATTCTTTGCATTTCCCCCTTTGGAGTAGGTAAAGCCATCAGTTACAAACACTCTACACAAAACTATTGCCCATCAAATAGATATAATCACTGACGCACAAGCCGAATACAGAAGCTTAAATGTCAATAACATAAGCTTGGCGACATGACAGGCTTGGTCAGAAGTCCAAGAGAAATGGCTAGATAAATTTAATCACAGAGAACTTAATTTCTACGAAGATATAATGATCAATTACAGAGTCCCCTAGGTAGCTTAAAAAATATGCTGGAAATAAATCATTAGATAGTAATTAAAGCCATTTCACTGTAGACCTGATGTGATATGATGAGCCATAATACAAGACATGTAAACACATATGAACTAATCTGATAGCTAAAAGAAAACGAAATAATGGATACTATAAACGGAGGGCCTAAAGCATCTCTTGAAGAGATCCAATAAAACAACAAATAAACAACTGTTATAATTCGAAAGATGGAAAAGGATGGACAGGTAGGAGAAATATCTTACATCGGCCACACATTGCCTCTCAACATTCAAAGCTTTTCTAAGGTTCTCTTCTCGCGTCTCCGCTTCCGCAATTGCAATTAAATGACCTGTCTGCTCACGCTTTAGAACTTCCTGGGTTTCTATAAGCGCTTCTCTAAGTTTTTCTTGCTTTGAAGCCCACTCTTTTTTCTCAATCAATAGCAGCCCCATATTATATTGATAGTCGAATAGCTGTCCAGATGAACAATCACAATATTTTAGGAAAAAGTCTCACATCCTATAAAAATGCACTAAAATTCAGATATCAAGACTCATTTTTATTATATTTTTTATAACTAATAATCATAATTCATATTGACACCCAAGAATGGAAATATGATCTATCTCTTTTCCCAAATAAAAAATAAAAGGAAAGCAATAGATATTAAAGCCTGTTTGATTGCAACGAATTCCATAGAAAATATCACATTCGAGGAAAACAAATTCCATTTTGGCCGTATGATTGCAACATGGAAATGAAAACCGGATTCCAAGGTACAACCCTTTAAATTGCATTTTCTTTGTTTTCATGGAAAACGAATTCTGATGGATTTGATGGATTTTTATTTTCCAACTAACATAGAATTGAAATTCCTTTCCACCTTTGCCTATCAAACGGACCTTTAAATAAATTTGATTTATAAAAATACTTTGTTAGGCCCATGGCATACAACATCCCATTTCTCATTTAGGTTTAGATCGTTAAATTTTAGAATATTTTAAACTAATCACCACATATAATTATTTTAAGCATAGGTTATACCAAATTCATCCATATAGTCATTTGAGACTTTTCACAAATCATCTCCTGGTTAAACAAGCTAATTTTAAGCAACTAAATGCTCCACTACAAAATGATAGCATGAGAAGAGGTTGAATCTTAGCCATATGGCTAGTGAATTTTTCGAGATGTCAGAGAAATATTCAGATTTAAATTCCTATTAAATGAATTTCCATGCTTATTTATGAAACCCTAAGATAGCAAGGCTTCATAAATCACTGTAAATTATCTAACAATTCGTCACATGCATTAGATGGACATATATTTCCAACAATTTGCAAATTTCGTCGTGATATAAACCAAAAGCTATACAGCTACACATTCCAAATTTCAATTGAAACCACCACATGCTCGAAAAATGGCTAAATCTGAGGAAGCACACAACTCTGAACTAGACCGTGAGTAGAGACCTAAATGCGAGGAGAGATTAAATATGGTTATACTCATCCGCTCGGCATTTACGATCCCATGGGATATCAATATATCAAAATAATATTCATAAATACGAGTTATGCAACTCACTGAACTGAATTCACAATTATCAAGAGTACACCATTTTCAACCTGCAGCTGATTTCACAGGGTGGGAGGTTTTTGACAAGCAAGTGAAAAGCCCAAATATACGTAGATAACAGCTGCTAACTAAGCCATGTCAAATACTGTATGAATAGAACTTAGCAAACTAATATAGTCTGACATGTATTATTTACCATTTAAAAAATCATGTCTGGTTTCCTTGGAAAAATAGATCCTTCCCCTCTCCCAACAAATTAAATTCAATGCAATATTACCACCCAATAACAGATTAATCTACAAACAAGGTTGAAGTACTAATATTTTGGCAGTTGGCACTCATTCGTCCAGCAGCTTTGCATCATTAGAGGTTAAAACTCCATACAAACTGATGTTTTTCACCAGCTAGATACAGGGCCAGCACACTGTGCTGGAAAATACTGAAATTGAAAAATGATCTGATAAAATTTGAGCAGAATCAAGTGGATTAAATCAAAGAGGAAGTATGGCATTATTTTTCTGTGTTGGCAGCTTAACAGAAGGACATCCAGACTGCCCCGGACACCATAAGCATTTTGTCAATATTATAGGTAGTAGCTGCATAATTATCATTGAGAGTGGAAAAAGCCCCAAGTGTCTGTATATTCACCTATCAACACAATATCACCATTAAATACTATTTTAACACAACCAATTACCTATCATTTAGTTGTAAAATTTTCACAATTCCCACATTACCACCGAAAAAGGAAACTTTTAGTGCCATTGTTATTCTAAAAAAATGCTTACCCAGTCCACGTATATTAAAAAATAACCCCAGAAGTTAAATTTAAACACAGGAAAAAGATAAGAATCTGAAAACTAAAAAATAATTAACATTTAATATTCCAGCGGACATTTCCTTTTCCTTCTAACCTCTCTTTCAAACCGTGCAATCCTCTCTTCCAATGCCTCGCGGTCACGCCTCTCCAAAGAGAACTCATCCAAGAATCCCGCCTCTCGAAATCTCTTCCAATCCTCCATATTCTCCAAATCATTCGCCCTTGTTATGTCTCCACTCTCACTCAAGAGCCCCAAAGGCGGGGGTGGCGCTGCGGGGCCATCAATATACGCCACGGCCTTCCCCTTACCAGTAGGGTTCGGGGTGTTTCTATCCGGACGTGGCTCTGATTCCCTCCTCGGAGTGATTGATAATCCCGGCCACTGATGCTTCTGTGGAGTAAACATCATCAAATTCGGGGTTTTATTTTAAAATAAAACCCTAATAAAAAATCCCGAATTTGTGATCCTAGGAGTAAAATTGAAAGGAAATTCTTGATTTCAGAGGTTTAACAGTTGAATTGAAAACAAGAAAGGAATGCTGGCAACGGGAATTAGGGTTTCGAGTATAATCGAACAGTAGTAAGGAAGAAACTATTTTGTTATGCTTTCTTCTATTATAAATAAGGGTAGATGATCAACGGTCGAAATTCGATTTAAAAAGTGTTATAATTGGAGGGGGATATGACGGCTTTACCCTTGCGGATGTGTTTGTCTCCCATTATTAGGATTAAAATAAAATAATGAATAGTATTTTTTGAAGAATGTATGATTAAAATTTAAAGTAATTTTACTGGTTTGTGTGTAGAATATTTTATTGGATGAATATGTGATGGAGAATCTTACTATAACAAACAATTTTTTGGAATAATGGTAGACAAATAGGGGCTGAAGTTTCTGCCTTATTTTTTGAAGGAGAAAGGCAAGTTAGTCCCTGATTCACTGCATGTGGCACGTTGGCTTGAGCTTAAAATTTGAATTTTTTAAGCTTACATTGGTGCTTTAGCACCTGTTTGGTACGCATTCTTTCAAAATATATTATTTCAAAACTCATTTTCAACCATACATTTTTTAATAAAATAATATTTTTCATGACATCAATAACATTTCATTATTTTTTAACCACATATTTCACATCATATTACTATTTAAAATACATTATTGCATCAATAATATTCATCAAACACCCCCTTAAGATAAAATAATTTAGGGCTTGTTTGAACCTCATTTTTGTCAAAAAAAATGCATTTTTTAATAGTGTATTGATGGGATATGTGTGGTTAAAAATAAGAAAAAATTTGAATTTGCATGTAATATTATTTTATTAAAAATGCGATGTTGAAATGGAGTCAAAATACTGTTTAAAATGCATTTTTTCAAAAAAATTGGCTCAAACAAGGGCTTATGTAACTAGTCAAGTTGAACATGTATTGCACATTATTCTGAAATGTTTTATAAATGTTGTAAAAGTAATATTTGACCATTCATTTACCCTTTTGATCTAAGGTTATGTTTGACACCCATTTTGGAGAAGAATTTGATTTATAATAGTGATTGATAGAAGAATGTGTGGTTAAAAAGTAAGGAAATTTTTTGAATTTATATTTAATACTATTTTATTGATAAAATGTGTTGTTGAAATGAAGAAAGAGAAAAAAAATGGATGTCAAACAATGGCTAAATATGAGAGAAATACAAACCTCTATAAATAAATGTTAATTATTATACATGCACGTAAATAGTGAAATACATAGTTAAATGTGTAAGTATTAAAATTACAACTAAACTAGTGTGTCACCCGTGCGATGCACGGATATTGTACTAAAAAAATAAATTTATAAACGTTGAGATTAAATATTTCATTTGACTTAAAAAGGATTATTGAGGTTGTTATAAAAGTATATGAAATAAGTATCATATATGCGTTACAATTGTCATAAAAAAATTAAACCGATGTTCCAACTACTACAAATTTTGGAAAAGTTCCTTGAAAACACATTTGTCGTTGAATTGTCTTGTCTGTCATCCTTATCGCAAATCAAAAT